TTTGCACTTCCCACACTCAGCTAATTTTTTTATGTTAGAAAACTAAAACCATGCCAAGAGCCTACCTTTTATCGTTCTGTAAATTGATTTTTTTTTTCAATTGTATGATTCATTTCCCTCTAAAGATTTCGTTTAGCAAAGCATAAATTGACCGATCTGATTGCAATTTTTATATTTGAAGATTGGTGGCCATGACTGGCATTACATATGCTTTATTAAATATGCAGAAATTAAATCATTTAAGCCTTTTTGTGTGGCTTCAGCAATTTGTGGGCATTCCAGGTTAGCTTGTGTATGTATCCTGGTTTACAAGCATGCTGATTGATATTCAAAGAAAGCATCCCTGCATCATCCTGCACCCCAAGAGATGTTTATACACATAGAAATTCATGTAGATTATTCAACACTGAGCTTTAGCATGCAAACTGCTCTAGTAAGATGGGATAAACAAATTAGGAAACAGGCATAAATTAGGATACTCCAAGTTGTTTTGGTAAGCAATTAAATGCATCTCTGGCACAAAATATATACAATTATTCTTCCTTAAGCAGATCAAATATCAACATCAAGTGTCAACAATAGAGTGAAAATAAACAGTAGCACACCTTTAAAATTGATCACGTAGCCTTTTGATCCTACTGAAAACCTGAAGGACCCACGTTTATTTTTCTGATATTCTCTCTCGATATCCTTGCTTGTGACAGAACAGTTGGAATTCTACAGAAAAAGTGCAGGAGAGAAACAAAATCTGAAAAGTGAGTCCAAATCACAGCTTCTCATCCTTCCAAGGCAAACTCAAAACTCAAAAACAGCTGATGCCCCTAATCACCGCTGGTGGTAGACCAGCCCACTATTAGAGTTTTCCCTGACGTTTTGTTTGAGTATTTTATCTGTCTATCCATCAGCAAACCCATTTTGCAGCCACTTGATCTAACACAGGGTCACAGGTCAGCCAGAGGCAGGACCTCCACGGGCACAAGGCAGGACTCACCCTGGTCGGGGTCTCAGCTCACCGCAGGGTGCACACAGACACACACGCACTCACAACAGGGCCAGTTTTCTCAGCAGCCAATGAACCCACCAGCCTGTCTTTGAACTGCGGGAGGAAACCAGAGCACCTGGAGGAAACCCACACAAACACGGGGCGAACGTGCAAACTCCACACAGACCGCACCCCGGGAGTTGAGCCTGGGATTCCAGCTCTGCCAGGCAGCAATGAAAACCACTGTGCCTCCCAGTATAATGTATATCAACATGTAACACATCAGGTTTAGGATATTTATATCCTGCTGTGCAGGAATTACAATACAAAAGATGTATGTTACCAGGATCAGCAATTTACTTAAAGCCTCCATGAGTGTTTTTACTATTATAGCAGCTTTGATTGTTATTAATCCACCATGTTCTGGGGAGAGGAAACCAGGCTGGTCATGTAGCACGATGCTCACCTCAACCTTCATAAAACTGATCACAGCAACACAAGGTCAACTAGACATGAGCAGCCAATAGGGACTGCAGTAGTACTGTAGCTACAGTGCAACATCACACTTACCAGCCAATTCTAATTTGACTGTTTGTCAGCAGTTCTTCATCGATAATATAATTTATTATAACATAATTTATATGATAATAAATTATATTCACTGATATATTTAATTTATGCATTATCTAATGTATATATTCATTTATATTATAATATAATTTGTTCCTCTCTGCACACCCATGAAACCAGAGGGCCGTTTTCTGTACTTCACGAGACAGATCTATCAGGATTAACAGTTAACTGATCAAAAATGGCTAAAACTGGATGGATGGAAGGTAAAACATAGAATTGTGTTTCTGCACCAAGAAGGAAATATCACTATCAGCGAAGAGCAGAGCACTGACCGGGTCACTGGAGGTCAAGGTCACCGTGCATGGTAACGTGATCACCGGGAAAAACAAGGCGCTGTATCTCGGGGACGAAAGCAGCACCGACGCCACTTTCAACGGCGCAAACGAATGAGGGGGGTTTCATCGTTTGTGCTGTCTGTAGGGGAGGCCATCTTCACGGGGCTCCGGGTCGGAACCGACTGGCGTCCTGCTGTTTCCCCGGCAACAGCAACATTCCCGCGAGCGCTCAGACGAGGTCGGGGCGTCTTTAAATTCAACCTCCGGTTTTTCAATCAAGCTCCCGATCTATTTCCCAATCACATTAACTCCCTCCTTATTGAAGTCTGTCCAGAACCCTACCATCGTCCCCCTCCTCTCCCGAATTATAAGCCTGTCGGCCGCCTGTCTTAATTCTCTGGCGCAACGACTCGGGAGAATTATTTTCGTTAAGAAGTTTTCTTTAAATGGTCCGGGCTCCATCCCGGCATGAAAGAGGTGTTTGCTTTTCCTTTTCTGCCCCGGCTCGCCAGCCTTTTGTTATTCCGGCGGGGAGGCGTGTGCCCCTCTCTTACCCCCTCCTTTTTTTACCGTTTACCATTTAATTGGGACCGACCTCTTAACATCTGCCTGCATTCAGCCCGTTACTGTCATACCCTGTTCACTGCACACCTAAAAGTGCACTGAGTCCTGCGCCTGGGCAGAACAGTATCCCCCGCTGCACCCTGACACTCGGTATATATTGTAACGCAACGGGGGCTCAGGCGGGCGCCCTTGCCGCATTAGGTCGGCCCCATCCCGACTGAGGCTCGAACCCGGGACTCCCGCGTCTCTCTGCAGCGACCCAGCCCTGTGAGCTAAAGAGAGATCTCTCCACAGCCCAGTAGCTGTGGTCCTGCTATCACAGGGAAGGGCGGTGACATCACCTGCTCTGGTACGCCGGCTCTTACACAGTGCCTGTTGGCCGTAAGCGTTACAATATTATTAGAGGCCTCAGAGACCTGCTCCCCGCACGGGTGCCACGCCGTGTCTCCGCGGTAGTACCACAGCCAGGTCGTCGGTTGCGGGTCTGTAAATCCCTGCCGCCGAATCCCGAGATCTTTTCCACGGACCTTCATCTCACCGAAGTCGATCGAAATGCGCCTGCAATTGGAACAGACATGTTTGTTCATCGCCCCTTTAGGTTTAAACCAGTCCTTTAAACGCGGGTGACTAAGGCATCTGACCAGTTCCGTACCAAGTACTCCAACCTTTTTATCTTGCGTTTTATTAACTAGAATACCGTCACTGTAACACTCTGCTCTCCTCCCCACTGAGAGCTGGTGTGTGGGGAGTGTACTGGTGCACTCTGCTCTCCTCCCCACTGAGAGCTGGTGTGTGGGGAGTGTACTGGTGCACTCTGCTCTCCTCCCCACTGAGAGCTGGTGTGTGGGGAGTGTACTGGTGCACTCTGCTCTCCTCCCCACTGAGAGCTGGTGTGTGGGGAGTGTACTGGTGCACTCTGCTCTCCTCCCCACTGAGAGCTGGTGTGTGGGGAGTGTACTGGTGCACTCTGCTCTCCTCCCCACTGAGAGCTGGTGTGTGGGGAGTGGACTGGTGCACTCTGCTCTCCTCCCCACTGAGAGCTGGTGTGTGGGGAGTGGACTGGTGCATCATCCAGGTGGGGCTGCACACTGGTGGTGGTGGAGGGGATCCCCATTACCTGTAAAGAGCTTTGAGTGGAGTGTCCAGAAAAGAGCTATATACTGTAAGTGTAAGGATTAATAATAGCTTATAAGGGTGTGTAAGTGTTCTACTAACATAGAATTAGTATCATAGACATGATATTAAATATTTAATACAATTAAAGAAATTATGCTTTGAGTTCCATTTGTCTCGTATGCTTATTTCCAGATGTGTTGTCTGGACTATTGACCAGTGCAGTTGATTTTGATGGGTGTTGCATAGGCAGCTGAACCTGTAGGTGCTGCCACAGTCGATAACTTTCATGGATGTCACACAGTCCGACAAAACAATGTTCCGAAGTCCCTCTAAACTCTACAGCTGTCGTATTGCTTATCCGTGTGGAAAAGTGTCCAGAATATAAGATCCAGATGACTGAGAGATGGGCACCAGGTCCTTGGTGTCAATATGGACTCTGGTATTCATAAGGACCCGCACAGCTGCCATTGTCTGTGATTCATTGTCCTGCCTGTATCTTCATTTCAGAGCAGGAATTCACACGGTTCCCTTTGTATCTCCAGGAGTCTTGCGGTAGCGTAGAATCCTTACCCATACTTGGTGTTGTACAGTCTCAGGCCTTTGACTTCGGGCAGTGAATACTGAGCTTCAATAATCCAGTCCTTGTTGATGTCCAGCCATCTTGAGCCTTTCCTGATCTGCCACTGGTATGATTTATTTCTGGGTCTTTCACCGGAGGATCCTAACAAAAGGCAGCAGATAAAGAGAGGCTGGTGAGCTTCTGAGTCCAGGTCACAAATCCCAAAAGTTAATCTAGAAACTTTAGGAAAAGCTTGAATTATGTGCATATTTGGGAAGTATGGGATGTTCATGGTTTAATTTTTATAATATGGTGTACCAAAGGGAAAACACATTTAAAAATCTTAATTTTTAAAATCTTTCATCTTAAAAAGTGCTTTATTCAGCATACGGATAAAACAACCAATGTATTCTGAGAGGTAAAATCACTTGTGTCTCCTTCTGTGGGTCTTTTAAAAGTATGATCCACAAAGAAACCCTGTCTATCGATGTTTAGTCACTCCAGCAGAAAAAGAAAAGCCTTATTATTAATAACTGTGAAGAAAATCCCCCAACATACCACTATTATCTTCTTCAGCACTGTGGGACAAGTGGCAGCGCTTCCCATACTTGCAGTGACCTTGGAAGAAGTACTTGCAGATGTGGAGGTACGTGCAGTTCCTGCCCCTCTTACACCCACTGTTATTATAGTACCTGCAAGGCTGAGAGAGGAACGGAGAACAAGAATACCAAGAGACTTCTGCCGGTTCAATTACGAACAGAACTGAAATCCGTTTCCCCTCATCTTTTCTCCACTTTGGCGTCACCCTCGTTATCGGTATTCAGCCTGTTACTTCGGGACCGAGCACAAATGGCACATGCCCCGGGAGTGAGCGAAGGGAAGAACGCCTGAAAGACTGAACCGAGCCCAAGACCGCTGTGGAGAAACTGGCACACCTTGAAGTGTGGCTCGGGAGTCCTGCTGGCACACAGTCATACAGGACTCACTGTTGGCCCCCACTAAACGCATATACACATCTACTGCTACATCTGTTCTCTTTCTTTTTCTTTTTCTTTTTCCCGTTTACAACCACTTTTGTGCAATATATGCCAGGGACCTGTGCAATACATTTATATTTATATTTATATCTATGGTTACGTCTATATTTATATTCATACGTGTGATACGTTTTTCTGTGTACTGTTCTGTTCTAGTTTCCTCTTGTGTGTCCGGACTGTGAGTAACTCTTGTATTGTATTGTATTGTATGTATTGTACTATTATTATATAATTCGTTACACTGTGGCTGTGTTGTGTGTGTTAAGCTGCTGTTGCACTGCAATTTCCCTCACGGGATCAATAAAGTATCTATCTATCACTGATTTCCACAGGCAGTTGGACCGATTCCGCCAGCCCCTGGCCACTCAGACAGTGGTATAAATTGGAACTGAACCAGTTCTTGGCAGGAAGCAGGCCCACCTTTCCCTGTGACGTGTCCAGAGCTGTCCGTCAGGAGCTCTGTAGGCCAGTTAATTTATGGGAACTGCGGGGCTGCGGTTGGTCCCAAGTGCCTCAGCTGCACGGACTGAGGCCCACAGTCAGAAGGCTGGGGGTCAGGTCTGAGGCGCGTGGTGCTGCAGCTGTGGCCGGTTCCAGCTGCGCACGGGGCCTGCGCAGGGACTGTCCGAGGGGGGTTTGAAAGTCGCCCCCTTTTCTCTCGAGGTTCCTGTACAGCCTGCAGCGTGATCAGTTCAGAGATGGGGATTATTAGGAGGCCATGACTGGTAAAGGCCAGGGGCAAATTTGGCCAGGACACTGGGGTAACACCCCTACTCTTTTTGAGAACATTTTAAATGACCACAGAGAGTCAGGACCTCGGTTTTATGTCTCATCTGAAGGACGGCACCTTTTTACAGCATAGTGTCCCCGTCACTATATTGAGTTATTAGGACCCACACAGACCACAGGGTGAGCGCCCCCTACTGGCCCCACTAACACCTCTTCCAGCAGCAACCTCAGTTTTTCCCAGGAGGTCTCCTATCCAGGTACTGACCAGGCTCCCACCTGCTGAGCTTCAGTGGGCTGCCAGTGGTGAGTTGCAGGGTGATATGGCTGCTGGCGTGTAAGGGACTTATCCGTTTGTGGTGTAGCTGTAGGAGTATTGGAGATGACACCATAATCCTACGTGATTCTGCTTTCTACACTCTACAGGAATATCCCATAGTGGAGCTGTTAGTGTAATCGTCTCACCTGCTGCGTGGGAGACGGGTCTCTTCCTTGCTCCCCTTCAGAACTGCTTAAGCTCTCGTCCTCACTGCTCTGTGAAGCTTCCTGCTCATTGTCGCTGAAAGAAGATGCTTAAAGAGACATGAACGCTAGATTGGGGAAATGAAGCTGGGTCTGAAGAGCAAAGGTCCGAGATGGTCTTCAAAACCAATTCCTCATTTAATGCGCCTTTTTAAATTCAGCAAAATAACAGTGCCTCCTGTTTTGTCATTCCTGATTATTCTAGAGGAAATTGCGGCTCCTGACTAGAATGACCCAGTTTATGATTGTGGCTTTAGGGGGGAGGAATTGCAGCTTCACCATGTGTCAGATCCTAAACCTTAAAGGACTGTAGCTCCGGTCTTGAGCAGATCCCCTAACTTTGTGCCTCAGAATCCACTGGACAGCTAGAAGTCACATTTAGGGATATGACTGTTTTTGACGTACTTCAGTTTTGACTAACATGAAAATCATTTCAATTGGTAAAACACTTGAGAGTGATGTATATGAATGCTGAAGCTCAAACTGCCTCCCTTTCAAAGATATCTGAAAAGTGTGTGAAGCTGAATGTTACTGTAACTTCAGCTGACACTTTTTCCCAGAGGGCATGATACGATCCACACTCTGTCAGGAAATAATGGAGCTGTGTCTCCTCATGCAATTGTGTACGTAGTGTGAGAGACATTTTGCTGTGATAACCATCTGGAAAAAGTCATGTCGATTGTAAAGTGTTGCTTTATTGTAAAAGCAAAAACACAGAGCAAAGGTTTCATGAAGAGACAAGTACTAATGGCCGCCGTTCTGCCACTATTTATTAAATTTCTTATAGTGTTCAAAGGTTGGATCATCTCCCTTCCTTTATATTCTTTAAATGTGTCTAGATCCAAAACATGGAAGGATTTATTTTAAGTGAATACAATTCCCAGAACATTCCACCTTCACTAGTCAGATTATTTGTGTTTTGGAAGATAGTAAAACTAAACTAATTGCACATTCTCATGTTGTAACTGTTACTCATTTTACTGCAGCCTCAATATTTCTCATGAATTAAAGGCATTTTCCTTTCAGTATTTCTCAAGGAATTAACATAATTGTAACATCCTGAGCATGTGTGCTCAGCCTTAGTTGAAATCTGATCATCAAGCAAAATAAGCTCTTCTGAGGGCATTGGTTTCAAGCACATCGTAACCACAGTTTTGTGTATATATATATAGTTTCTCTTTCTATATACTGTTTTCTCCAACAAGTCACGTTTTCCATTAAAAAAAAACAGAAGTCCAAAAAACAGAAGTTTTTTTTTTAGTTATGCAAACATAGATCATAATTTCAAGATGTGTCCGTACTGCATTTGTAGCTGTTAATTGTATGTTGTCCAGTAGACAGAATATAAATCCGTTCGGACCTTACCTTCTGCTGCGTGAGCCATATCTCTCCCTCTCTTGGCAGGAAAGCCCCGCTCGATACAGTCTGTTCACCTCCTTCCTCTTTCCAGAGGTTGAGGTGGAGCTGTAACTGTTGGACACACAGAGAAGATGGAGCTTAAAACCCCAAACTGAAAGTGAAACGGACAGATTATTCAGGAGGGAGTGTTCCTTCTGCTATGAGGGTGTGTTTCGAGTGTGAAAAACCACCACCACGCCTCTCCCAGGCAGGGCTGCACTCCTCCAGAGTGCTTCAGGGGTCATTTCGGATGGAAAGCTCTGAAGAAATGCAGTGAGCCATGAGCCATGTTTGTTCTGAGTGAGATTGCTCATAGCGGTGAAGGGTTCGAAGACACTAGGGCTATGTGTGCGGAGTGGTTAAGGTAAAGGCTTTGTTAGCTGGACTCACCCTGCTCTGCAAACCGAATCAGCCTGTGTTGCTGACGACTGACTGTGTTGCTCGGTTAGGATGAGACGTCAAACCTCAGGTCCTGGTGCAAGAGTTT